ATATGGAAAATAATGTGTTTTTTTAACCTTAAACCGCATAAACACATTGCATTACACCAAATACACAACATAATGTTCTTTTTAGCAACATCATATGACCCCTTTAAATTTACTTGAATCGCTCTATATTACAAAATCATTCATCTAAAACTATTAAGAGCTGCAAAAGATTAACAAAACTCAATATTAACAGAAATCTTTAGAAGTTTAGAAACTGGAGTTCAACAGATTGCAATAAATCTTCACCATCTCTTACACGCCTCACTTCTGAACCCCAGCCAGAAGCTTCTTTTCTCAGCAGGCCTTAGTTAAAAAAGTTCCTGCTAACATGTGACCTCCACTGCTACCCAAAATATCCAGAAAAAAATGAATGTTCGGCCTGTAGCTACCTCTACAAGCTCCACAGCAGGTCCAGCAAGGGATGTCGAGACCCCTCTAGCAGGCAGCGATATTGAGAGGGACTCACCGTTAGGAGTTGCAGTGGCTGGAGCGCCGACGTTCCCTGAGCCGGTTTTAACTAAGAATGAATTGGGGCCAAACTCATCTTCTGACTCAGAGTCCCGGCCGGCCAGAGCCCCACTGTTACCTAGCAACCTTCCCTGGCTCTGATTGGCTGCATGGGAAGGGGGAGGGTAAGGGGAGTCGACAGGGGAAGAGGAGGCAGATGAGCAATGAAGAGGAGGACCTGTAGACCACAGACACAAACAACACATGGGGGAGAACTTAAAACACACCTCCGGACAATACCACATAACCAAACTTAATAAATGAACAGCAGCACAAACATGCCGAGAGAATAAATAAAGGCCATGAATGCGCAGATAAAAGCTGTCTGTCTTGATTCATCTGTCTTTGAACTTTAGATCTGCCCAGCTGACAGAGAGATTGACACAATTGATACAACTTTTTTGCTTTGTGACTCCAAAAAGGATTTTTTTTTCTTTTCATTTTCCAAAGACAGATTGACAGACTAACTTTAACAAAACAACAAATGAAACATTCAGAAAGAATCACTGGTGATCAAGAGTGATTGAAACTATTAATCAACAGTGAATAAATCAGTCATTGAGTGAATCTCACAAAAACATATCCAGGTCACCCCTAAATTATAAGAAAAAAAAACATTTACATTTTGCATAAATAAATCAAAGCCTATTTTAGGACAATTAAGATTTTTTTTAAGTTGTCAATTCATGTTAATTCATTATATTTTTAAATCATTTAGATCTGCATACATACCATACCAGGCAGCACAAAAAAAAAAAAAATTATATACACGGCAAAAACAAAAGTGTTGCGTTTATAATTTTGTTCAGTGTATATATATATTTCCATGATATATCAATACTTTAAAACATACAAATATATATACAATTTTTTTACAAAAAAATGTTTTACTTATTTTTTGTAAAATTAGCCAGACGTATGAAAAACAATAAGCAAATTAACTAAATTGCATTTTTCTAAATAATTAAAATCTGAAAAAAAGAGTTAAAGGCAGCACAAAAAAATGTAAATAATATTTTAAATATACATAAAAAAAATTGCATTAAATTTACATTGGGTTGGGGTAAAATAAGCCAGACATGACCTAGTTCTTGAAAAGTTTTGTGAGACTGACCCAAATTACATTAAAAAAATCAAATTTACACATCAAGTTATACAAGCAATGATATTACAGTACTTTGAAGAAGTAATAGAACAACTTCCACAGCACATGAGAATGAAATAGCCTGCTGGGCTATCACACACACACACACACACACACACACACACACACACACAAACACACACACACACACACACACCACTTGATTTATTCCCACTAAAATTGTGCTAATCTTTTGTTTTTGAGCAAACCCTTGTGAGATATGAGACTGCATTAGAATAGCAGCATTTTTACATACAATTCTGTGGCAAGATATAAATATCCACAAGTGAACATTTCAAGTACAAAAGTACTCACACAAGTTCACAAAGTTTGCCCAGCTGTAGGACTTATATGGGTTTTATACTGAGAACAATGTGTTTTAGTCTTTCCTTATATTGTCATATGGAAGGAGCTGACAAGCTGACAAGCTGACAGGAAGTATCATTCAACGTTAAAGAAAAATGGTGCCTTATATTTCTGGTACAAACACATACAATTACTGCTAGGACGAGGTACAGCTGATTGAGTGAAAGAGAATTAAAAAACAATTAGTGAAATTACCATATGATTCATTAAAATGCCAATCAAGCCTCCCCTCTGTTCAGTCTTAAAGATGGAAGTCTTGTGTTCCATACTCATCATTCATCACTTTAATTTGACAAGTCTTAAAAGACAGTATAATAGTCCATCTAAAATGAGCAGAACAACTTGCAAAGATAACATGGTAAACATCATTTTACTTTCCAGGCTAAGTCAAAATAAACATGTTTATTTACTACTTTGGTTTGTAAGTAGAAATGAGCTGCAACACTGTTCAGCTGCAACAAAAAGAATTCAACGCAAAAACATACAATGTTAGTTATTCCTTAATTCGTATGTAAATTGTGCCAGATTGCACATAGAAAGTCTTTACACAGGAATTCTTTGTGCTTGTGTTTCATGAACGAGGTCACACGACTGTTTGATCAACATTTGAATGGTGCAAAAAACTTATGAAAACTAACAAGCTAATCTAAGAAAAAAACATCTCTTTCTATACTGTAATGTTCAGGTTATGAAATGACTGTACATATAGGGTCTTTAACTATATTAAATGTTTAGATACTGTATACCCCGCTCTAAAAGAATACTTCATTGATGTCATGGTGAAGCTTGAAAGTCTCTGAAGTGGAAATCTCTGAATCAACCAGCGTTCAATCTCTGATCTCCTGCAGGGAACATGGCGCATAACAATGGAGGTTATTAAGAGAGTTGTAGAACTGGTTTGGTACAACAGAGGAGGGAAAGGAATAAGGATTTTTTTTAAACTTGCCTAAAGGCCAAGCTTGTAACTATTAGTGTCCATAACCTAAAATATCAGTTTTGCGGTGTTTCTCTTTGGTTCGCTGTGCTGACTGCACTCTTACAGTCTTGTTTCACTCATTACTCTAATGAGCCTGAATTCCTTTCAATTAAGTCTGAATTAAATACACAGCTTTATTTGTAATCTGGGACAATTAATCGGATATAAAAGCCAGAAAAATAACCTTCCTAATCATGAGTCAAATCATTTGCCCTGAACAGCTTGCACAAAAAGTTTGAGTAATTGAGTTATTGAAAAATACGAATTTAAATCTCAAAACATCTTACAGCGAGTCTAATTTTCCATAAATCACTTCTTCTCTGACTGAAGACTACTTATTAAAGTCCTTTAAAAGTGTTGAAAGTCACAAAAAAGCATGAGCAAGTTTTGCATTCCTGCGCACACAGAGGGGTGCATTTGTCTTACAGGCTATGGCGGCCTGTTTTTAATTAATTCTACCTTGCGCAATTTATTTTCATTTCTCTGACTTCCAGAAGCGCTATGAAAGAGAGGAATGGGAATTCTGAAGGTGAAGCAATTTTTTGTTTCACTAGGGGTGCACTAGTTGCAGCTAACAGAACTGTAGAAAAAAATACAATTATGTTGTTTGCCACCACAATTGTTCTGGAAGTTACTAGGCTACAACATGCTTAGGTTGCTAAGGTATTTTGGGTGTTTGTTTACTGGTCCAAGCCAAAGAGCCCATCAACCCATTTCTCTGATATTATTATTAGTATTATTATTATTATTATTACCTAATAAATATTTAGTAATATTTGTTTTAATTAATTTTTGTTTTAATAATAATAATTATTATTATTATTACCTAATAAATATTTAGTAATATTTGTTTTAATTTAAATTTTATTTAGATTAATGTTATTATAATTAGTAGTGGTAAAAGTATTATAAATCAGTATAAATTTAATAATTTATTTAAAACAATTATATTTATTATTTGATGTGATATAATATAAAACATTTAAATGTAGTATTATTATTAGTTTAAACTCAAAATAATATACGTTAAACAAATTAATATTGATTTTCAATCATTTTGTTTATTATTAGTAATAGTTTATTAATAGTATACATTATTATTATTATTATTATTATTATTATTATCATCATCATCATGTAGTACTTGTAGTGCAAGTACTGTAAATCAATATTAAATAATTATATATATATAAATAAAACAATTATATTTATTATTTTATGTGTTATAAATTAAAGCATTTAAATGTATTCATTTATTATTATTATTATTATTATTATTATTATTATTCTATCTGACAAAATAATAAATAAACACTAGCATTATTTCAGATTGTAATAAATAAATAAATACATAAATACATATATAAATAACTTGTAACCATCTAAGATAATAATTATCATAATTATCATAATAACAATAGTAATAAATATACAATTATAGCAAATATTAATTTATGTTGCAAATCAACCAAAAATAACAATTTATCATTAACAACAATAATTATTATTATATGCAATGCCATATAAAAAAAAAAAAAACATTATTAGTAGTATTTCTGACTGCAACAATTATATACAACATTCATTTCTAAGAAAAGATAAGCAGTGAATGACTTACTTGAACCTACCTCTGCATAACTTGGATAGAAGAAAAAGTTTTAACACCAAAAAAGGTGTTTAATTCTTTAGTCGCTTTATACATCACAGTATCACAGCACTTCTCTCAGACAGATTTCTGCAGCCTTATATCCTCGTATTTTCCTTCTGACAAAAGACATATGTTGCATCTGAGTTCTCTTTCGGCTTTTTGCTCTTATTTCAGTTCCAGACTTACTTTCCCCTGTGGCCTGCCCTTCAAGCCTGGCCGATGACTGCTGCGCTCCTGGGGCACGAACACAGTGGGCCACCCACGCTAACACAGGCCCCAATCTACTCAGGAGTCACCTAATTAAATGAGCAAGCGAAATACCAGCGGGCCCCCGTTTCGCAGGTAGGCTGAGATTTTTCTGTTGCCACAGCAACCCATTGTATCTTCCCATCTCCCAGGAGACCCCGGCTGAACACAGAGCCAATTGCGAGGTCAATTGGTACAAACAGCAGGGGCAGGTTTCTTCTCTGCTCGGCCTCAATGCTTGATTTACACCGCCCTGGCCTCTGGGCCATCTTCAAATGTACTTTGCACTCTGAAACGAACGTCAAAAGCCCACCGAGTAAAGATGCTTTAGTCAGTGAGGCTTTCAAATAGGACGTCACACCACTTAATTCGCTCTAGCTAAGAGCTTTGTAAATTATGTCATTATAATCAATAAGACTGCATTATGGGTTGTCAGTTCGTACCATTACGCAGCCTCTTCCAACAAAATAAATAGATGAAGTCGGATGTCGCATGCATTATCCAACGCATGCATTATTTTATCAACAATAATAACATGGCGTGACTCAAATGGGAAGATTAGACTAACATCTATAAGAGTCTGCTGGAGATACTGGATTTCACTTTTAAGTGAAGTTTGATGGTGAACAAAAATAATCACAGTGCGGATGAAGGGGCATCGATTGCACAACAGCACAGCTGCTGATGGTGAAAAGAAGGCTGAAATGGCAGGAAATGAGTTACTACCACAGTTCTCACATCCATAAAATGGTTGAAGTATACGAGACCATAGGGTAGTATGGTTTTATGTCAGTGCTG